CTTAAGGTCTCAGGCATCTCCAGCCCCACTGCCGCTGGGCTCCTACCACTAATAATAACAAGGAGCTAAAAAAACCTGGCTTCCCACTCACAGTCGCACTCCACTTGCGTGCCCACGTGTGTGCATCCACCCACGCACATGCAGACAGACGCACAGACAGCACATCCACTGAAAACAGGGTTCGAGGGGCAGCAACAGCGACGCAGACTCCCAGGCACGGAGGGACATTTGCTGGTGCGTGCGTACAGAAACACAGGGGCTTGCCAGCATCCAAGGGCATCGCTGCTGCTGTTTTTAAGACCAGCTGAATAGGGGGGAGCATCCACACGGAGAAAGATTTGATGCATATATTAAAAACCTCCTTTTTTCATTGTAAAAGTGTTATTTGCACTGCTGTGGTGCCAGGAGGCTTCAATCCGCTCCCAGGTTAAATGCGGTGGGAACTGAGCTCTGGAGAGCCGGTGCAACACCACTTGCTCGGAGAGAGCCAAGGGCGCAGGCAGGAACAGCGTCCCAGGTCCTGTCCCGGCAGCCAGGCCAGGGTGTGGTGCTGCTGGTGGCTTTTCTGGGGGCTCAGCTGGGGTTTTGAGTCCAGCACCGGTCAGAGCTGTGGGACGGGAGGGCAGAAAAAAAAAGGCAGAGCGGCGGCAGGCAGCGACCTGCTCCGGTAGCAGCGCGACAACACGACCTGCTCCCAGGTACCGCTGGCTGAAAGCACAGTTTGCAACATGCCTCTGCATGGGCCTGGCACCAGCACAGCACACCCGGCTCTGGATCCTGCTCCGGCATCACAGGTTGGAATTTCCCCACTGAAATTGCAGTCAGTTGATGGGAAAGCCACCTGCTCCAGGGAAGGAGATGCTTTCCCGCATCCCTGCTTGCAAGAGGCCAATCGAGCCCAGGAGCCGGGGCAGGTCTTGCAGCGCAGGCTGAATTTCTCACTTTCCAAGCTGGAGAGCCAAAACACATAGCGAGTCTTCGCACCAAGCCCTTCCCTACGCCTCTTTAGACTTGCCGTCTCCACCGAAAGCAGTGAGACCCACCTCGCACCAGCCCACCGGGAGGATGGCCGAGTCTAGTGGGGCCCCTGGGAGCAGCCCGGTCCCCTGCCTGCCTCCCCCGGCCGCCAGCTGGGGCAGGGTCGGGAAAAAACGTGGGTCAGGATCCAAGGCTCACAGCTTGCCAGGCACAGAGGCCAAATCCCCATCCCACTCGGCGTATGCATCAGGCATCTGACGTGGAGCCACCCTGAGGCAGCTCCTGCTCGTCCCACCCCGATGCTGCCGGGATGCTCTCGTGGGGGAAAGCAGGGCTTCCCATCCCTGGCAGATGCCAGGCAGGCTGAGGTCACTCTGCCAGCCCCTCTGGCATAAGGGACCCCCGAGGGATGGACCGAACCTCCCCGGACATGCACGTACCATCGTCCCCTTCCCATCGCCCTGCAGCTGCCATGGCAGAGCTGCCAACCTTTGTGTTTTGTAACAAACATCAGGTTTGTTCCGTTCCTGGAATCATACATTTATGTGAAATCACAAATATATACATAAATATACATAAAAATAACTTTTTATACATATAAGTTAATTTAACAGTCCCTCATAGCTGGAAAAAATGACCAAAATCTAACCTAAAGCCATAGAAATCAGAGAGAATAGAGGACATGTAGTGTTTTCTCTAAATCTCATGTTTGAGCCACTCTCTTGATTTTAGGGTGATTTAAAAACCTTGGATTGTAGCGGGATGGGAGGGCTTTTCACCCACAGCAACCGAAACCTTAAGAAGACACATGGGTATGAACTACCCCTTCTAGCACTGAGGGGCGAAATCTCATTGTCTCCGCAGAACGGGCTGAATTCCTTAGGTATTTTGAAAAGGAAAATATATCCCTTCCCCTTCCATCCCCTCCCAAATCTGGTATTTCTGAAGTCATGAACTCCTCCTCCTCCAGGATCAGAATTTCTCAGGGTAATTTCTCATATTTCATGCGTGACCTTGATGCCGGGAGAACCGCAGTTCCCTCCGTACAGGCACCCTTCCCGGACTCCGAGTAACTCTGTGATCCCAGTTTGTCTTATTCTGAGACACACCACCAGTTTGCGAAACAGCCGCCAAAAAAGCTCCGTATTCCAACACCAACTGAGAGTGAACTCATCTAATTAATTAATAAGTTAATCTGCAGCCGGGGTAAGTGGCTGGTCCACCCTGACCCCTCAAGCCCCAGCGCGATGGGGCTAGTTGCTCGACACCACTTTATTCTGCTGGACTTGCCAGTAATCTCCTCCCTCCTCACAGAAAAAAATAAAGGAGGGGGAAAAAAGGCTGAGCCCTAAGAGGAGGTTAGCGGGGCTCTCTGCAAACACGCTGTGGGCATCAACCCCATGCAGGAGCAGGACCGACAAAGATGGAAGGAGAAATGAGTGGAGGTTATCCTTTGCCCACCAACCAGGAGCCCCACCGCTGGCAGAGCAGGGTAAATCCTGGGGAGTAAACATGGCAAGCCAGGGGAGTTTGGGGTACGGAGGTCACGCATTGGGAGGGAAATCCTACTTGGAGGGCCAGCTCTGCGGGAAGCAAAGCAAACACTGCAAGGTCTCATTCCAGGGAGGATGCGCACAGCTGGTCCCCATGGGATCGTGCCAGGGAAGGGCTTGCTGACCATCGTTTAAGAAAAGACTGGACGTGGCATTTAGTGCCATGGTCTAGGTGACATGGTGGTTGTTAGGGCAAAGGTTGGACTCAATGATCCCAGAGGTCTCTTCCAACCAAACTGATTCTGTGATTCTGCGATCACTATTCACCCTGTGCTTGCAGGCAGGAAACCACCACGAGGGAAACCACCCTCGCCCAGCATACACCTTACGGCACCTCCCAGTCTGTCCCCCAAACCTGCACGCAGGCAGCTCTGCGCTGATGGGACACATCGACCCCAGGCAGGGGACAGGGGGATGTCTGCCGGGGGACAGGGCTGCCCCGACAGAGCAGAACTTCTGCAAGATTAAATGCCTGCAGCCACCAGACAGAAAGATGGTAATAAAGAGTTTAGCAGCTCACATGATACAGGGGCATCTGGGCTCCTCATCTGAGAGGCATGGTATGGCTGGAGGACCCCAAAGCGCGG